TAGGGCGGCCAGCATGTAATTATGCGCAAGCTTGTATGTACTGAGTCACGCTATCTACTCGACTAATCAAGCGGACTTCTCTTGCTTTCTCTCTCTCCCTCTCTAACTCTCTCTCTCTCTCTCCCTCTCTAACTCTCTCTCTCTCTCTCTCTCTCTCTCTCTCTCTCTCTCTAACTCTCTCTCTCTCTCTCTCTCTCTCTCTCTCTCACTCCTTTCTCTCTCTCCCTCTCTAACTCCTCTTCTCTCTCTCCTCTCTCTCTCTCTCGCTCTCTCCCTTCTCTCACTTTCTCTCTCTCTCTCTCCCTCTCTCTCTCTCCTCTCTCTCATTCTCTTTCTCTCTCTCCCTCTCTCTCTCTCTCTCTCTCTCTCTCTCTCTCTCTTCTCTCTCTCTCTCTCTCCCTCTTTCCTTTCTCTCTCTCTCTCTCTCTCTCTCTCTCTCTCCCTCTCTCTCTCTCTCTCTCTCTCTCTCTCTTCTTTCTCTCTCCTTCTCTCTCTCTCTCCCTCTCTCTCCCTCTTAACTCTCTCTCCTCTCTCTCTCTCTCTCTCTCTCTCTCTCTCTTTCTCATCTCTCCTCTTCTCCCCCTCTCTCACTTTCTCTCTCTCTCCTCTCCATACTTTCATTATTAATAACATCATTGTTCATCGTTAAATCCTTAAATTTGTTACCTTGACAGTTTCAGCTGTCGTTCTGACAGGCCATCTTCAGAATTTCTGAATTTGTCACTTTCATTATGTTTATTTGCAGCTTCATTGACAGGCTCGTTCACTTTTTATAACTGGAGGAAGGTTTGCGTGGCTAGGTACGAGCCGTGGATATATAGGGCGGCCAGCATGTAATTATGCGCAAGCTTGTATGTACTGAGTCACGCTATCTACTCGACTATCAAGCGGGGCTTCTTTTGATCTCTATCGCTCTCTCTCTCTCTTTTTTCTCTCTCTCTCACTTCCCTCTCTCTCCTCTCTCTCACATCTCTCTCTCTCTCTCTCTCTCACTCTCTCTCTCTCTCTCATCACTCTCTCTCTCTCTCCCTCTCTACTCTTCTTCTCTCTCTCCTCTCTCTCTCTCCTTCTCCCTCTCTCTTCTCGCTCCTCTCTCTCATCGACCTCCACTCTCCCTCTCCGCTCTCCCATCTTTCTCACTCTCTCATCTATCTCGCTGCCCCAATTCTCTCGCTCTCCTATCTTGTACCACCCCCTTCTCTCTATCCAATCTCTCTCACACCCCTCTCTCTCCCACCCTTCGTCTCCCTCTCCCCCTCCCCTCTCCTCTCACTCTCTGTAAGTCTCACTGTGAAAGAGCAGATCCGTGTGTATACCGTGTGTGAATGTTGTTTTATAACTCACTGTGTATGTCTGTTCAATCTTGTAAAGTATTACCCTGTGTTATGCTGTTACCAGGATGGCATTCAGTGTTTATTTACCTTCTATCAGCGCCTAGTATCAGTGTTATACGTCTGTCTCAGACCATTTGTATTGCTCAGAGCTTCCGTCACTATATACTTGTTACATGCATTTTCCTGAGGCCTAGAAACACTTCCGTTGATCTAAGCAAGAGTTTTGCGGGACGTAAAGTAGTTCCTTGGCTATCGTCACATTACAATCGCTGTGCAGTTAATAAAAGATGATTATAGTATAGTCGTTAACCTTTTGATTTTGTATAGTTAAGTAATCTGAATTGTAGTGCTGTCGGGTATTGAGAAGACGAACCATATATATATTGCGGCCGGTACGATTCACGTTCACTTGAAGCGTGTCCAATAAAATATATGCTAACTAAATACAATCTATTTACTACCAAACTTCTTAATGTTTCTATAACTCTCTTTCACCTATATTGCCGACAGTTTCCTGTAATTCCGTCCAATCCTATGTGCAACAAACACTGACTGCCGCCATTCTCACCGCGGCTGCAGTGTGCCACTGAACTTTATATATATATATACTAGCTGGGCTACGCGATTGACCCGGGAAAAGAGCCTATAATTAGTCTAGCTATGACGGCTGTACTGATCTTATTCAGATTTTATAAATCTGCTGCTAAAAAATTTCACTTCATGGTCAGTTCTGCAGTGCTTCTTGGACACAAACATTCTTGTCTTGCCATCTTGAAAAAGGATGTAGAGCTTGTCTGTGTTTACCCATCCTGGAGCACCCACACAGAGAGTCTGGCCAATGGGAAACACATGGCTCCACTGAAGGTTGAGTCCAACCCAGCTTGAGGACTGGCCTGGGGCTTGTGATGTGACGATGGCAAAGCTTAGCCTGACTGGAAACTGCAGCCTCTTGACTGAAGATGGCAGGTCGGAGGATGAGCGGATTCTTTGATGAAACATTTCGCCCTTGCCCTTTGAGGATGGCTTGCTTGCTCAGCCCAGTCTCTGAGTCTGGTAGCAGTAGGTGGAGTTTTTTGGGAAGACTTTGGTTCATCCACGCTGGGCTGATGTCCGTCGCTGCGTTGCTAAATGGCCAGCTTGACTTGGCCATCAGCCTGTGGTGCGTGAGTCTCGCTATGCCGACCTCCAGCAGTTAGCTGAGGAAGCGGCCGCTTGCTCATCGCCACTGTGGCTGCACCCTGCGAGTTGTCTTCAGGCTGTGGCGGTTCACTCGCTCCAGAGGCACGACGACTTGATGCAGGATTGACAGCAATCTGCTCTTGATTCCTTTGGCAATGAACTGCCAAGGTTTGGCGAAAGTCGCCTGAGAGCAGGACAGGCACACCTCTCATGACGTTTGTGTTGTGCCGAAGGTCTTGTAGGGTGTTGTCGACTGCTTCAAAGGCGGCTTTGTGGGTCATTGGTTGCCTCGTCCCAGATAATGAGCTTGCACTCTTGGAACAGCTTGGCCTTTGTGGAGCCACGGCTGATGTTGCAGGTTGGATTTTGCCGCTTTGCCAGGTTGAATGGCAGCTTGAAGGTCGAGTGAGCAGTGCGCCCTCCGTCCAGCAGGGTGGCAGCAATGCTGCTTGAAGCAACTGCCAAGGCAATCTTCCTCGTCTGCCTGACCTTGGCCAGAAGAAGGTTGGTAACGAAGGTCTTGCCTGTTCCGCCAGGAGTGTCAAAGAAGAAGAGGCCGCTACGTTTTTTTTGTCAAATTTATTTTTGTCAAATTTTTTGGGTCAAATTTTTTGGGTCAAATTTTTTGGGTCAAATTTTTTGGTCAATTTTTTTTGACCTAAAATGGTCGTCGGGTCATGCTGATTCAGAATATATATGGTGTTGGGGGTGATAGCGCGCACTCTATAGCGTGAACTCTTCTTACGTGGGGGGAGAAGATAGACAGACAGACAGACAGACACAAAACAGGCTCGCCCTTTATATAAGAGATAAGTGTATAAGTGTCAGTGTATATAAGTGTACTATATATATGCTATATATATAAGTATCAGTGTGCACACTGCAGCCGCGTGAGGAATGGCGGCAGTCAGTGTTTGTTGCACATAGGATTTGGACGGAATATACAGGAAACTGTCGGCAATAATAGGTGAAAGAGAGTATAGAAACATTAAGAATTTGGTAGTAAATAGATTTCGTATTTAGTTAGCATTATATTTTATTGAAACGCTTTAAGTGCCTGTGGGTACGATTTCCGGCGGGACCAGCATGGTGCCCCTGGTGTTTCGCCATGTTTTATTTCGTTCCACAATACTGTAAAGATTCATCGATAATTCTCCGAAACCCATAATGCCGCACGAGTTTTTACTGTGATTGCTCAGGAACCCAAACTTCCAATGACACCATAGCAACAAGATCGTCGAACAAAGTGTAAACGTGGTGCCTGTATTGGACAGAAAACTGTGTTTTATAGTATTCATTGGAAGTTTGGGTTTGTGAGCAATTACACTTCCCTCTCTTTCACGACCAGCCTCTCTCTCTCTCTCTCACCCTCACCCTCTCGCTCTCTTTCTCCCCTCTCATTCTATCCCTCCCCTCTCTCTCCCTTCTCTCCCTCATCCGCCTCTCTCCTTCGCTCACCTATATCCCTTCCTCTCTTATTTCACTCTCACGCACCCTCTCCCTGACTCTCTCTATAGCTCTTTCCCCCTCTCACCCTCAAACACTATGTGTGAGCGTGTGGGCCAAAAAGCTTTTCGGGGGAATAAAAACTCCTAGTGGGAAGCTAAATGATAATATAACTAAAGCGCGCTCCCAATAACTTTATTGCCGCCCCCCACTCAGCGCCGCTCCCAATAACTTTATTCAATTTCGATTGATGATGTTATTTATATCCCAGCCAATATAACGTCGGCAGCGTTTATACTCCAGCCTGATGTCTTTGAAACAAACTTGGACATTATTTGTTACAGATATACGCCAGAGTACAACAGATGTTTTGTGCATCGGTTGCACTGCAATATCGCACTAAAAGGACTTTCGTACACAGAGTAATGATATACGTGGGGTGTGCCTCTCTGACGCGCACACGCACACATACGCACACACACACACACGCGCGCACACACACACATACACACCCCCACCCCACCACACACACACTCACACACACACACACACACACACACACGCACGCACACACAAACACACGCACACACACACCCACATACGCACACACATACACATCTGTCAGATATGATATATAAAATGGTATTGGGAGACAAGAAGCTATGTGAATGAGAAGTCAGTTAACTGATGGGTGTTTAAATTTGAACCATGTTTCATGATAGATTGCATAGCGTTTACGCACACGAGCGCGCGCATACACACACGCGCGCACACACACACACGCAAACACACTCGCGCATATACGCACTCACGCACGTTCGCTCGCACGCACTAATCCGCCTTTAGTCACCGCCTTCAGGCTATAGAGAGCGTGCGAGCGTTTATTTATTCATTCATTTAAGCTCTGGTTTACGAAATTCAAGTTAGTTACATGTATTAAACCGTTTTGTCTACAACAGAGGAAGTTACTTTATATATTAGACATTACTATATATATATATATATACTACGTGGCGCACTGCGCACGCGACATGGCTCTACCTACGTTGCGCTGTTGACCTCGTCCGTGTTGGTATGTGGAAGCACAGGGAACTTGGTGGTGCCCGCAGACTCTAGGATCACGATGGTGATGCAGATGATGGCGAGGTTAGGGTAGAACACCGTCACTGCCATGGCCCCACTGAGGTCCATCCAACAACTATCGGCAGTTAAAACGCAATTATTAGATAAAGACGTATTGCTTGATAGCCAATCGCTCGCTAATTGATAATTAGTAATAGCTCATCGCGCGTTGATCTTTATTTACTTATTGGTTGGTTTTTGCTAAACACGATTTTATAGGCGGGTAAGTAGAGAATTTTTCACGTTGACCTTTTTCCTGAAATTGTGCGATTGTTGTTGAAATTTCCGAGCGATACAGATCTTATTAGTTCTATTGTTTCACCAACCAATTCTATTCTGAAATTGGTTTACATTGTACTGGTTGTCTTCCAGCTAGCATGAGAAATGGGGATACTTTCTAGCCACTGTGGGTAATGGGGATCCTTCCTCGCCAGTACAAGAACGAAGGACACTTTCTATCTTTTTTTTCTGCGAAACTGCCACGCACGCAACATCAACACAAATCTGATTTACTACCCGCTAAATCTTAGGACACTCTCACTTCTAATGCTATCAGCTATGATTACTAGCTTCCGTTTTACACCAAAGGGTTACCTCTTTAGTTACCGGTAAACAGCAACTAGTATGCATATACAGGTATGACGTGAGGGTCTGCCCGTCGCAGCGCCCCCTAGCGTCGTGACACGACACCGGCCATTAGCGTTCGCGTTCTATATAATAATATAAATTATGAGGTTCGTATTCAACGTATAGAGTCGCGTTCGATAAGCGTCATGTAAAGGTGGACAAAAATTATGAAATTTAAAAATGAAATCTAAAGACGCGAAGTCAGAAAAAGGTGAAAAAGGAGAGTTGCACTCACGTGGAACCGCCGCCGTACTCGTCGTGAAGGCAGCTGACGGAGAATGTAACAATGACGGCGGGAGCGCCTGCAACAACAACGCACCGCCAGCGCGGCTGAACAAACATCGCTGCAACACGGTAAACAACATTAATTACAATTCATTTTCTTACCGCTGAGAGAGAGAGATATCGATAAATATATATATAGAGAGAGAGAGTGAGAGAAAGAGAGAGAGAGAGAGAGAGAGAGAGAGAGCAAGTGGGTGGAGAGAGAGAGAGAGAAAGAGAGAGTGAGAGGATGAGAGAGAGCGAGAGAAAGACAAAGACAAAGACAAAGAGAAAGAGAGACAGAGAGCGAGAAAGAGAGTGTGAGAAAGAGAGAGAGAGAAAGAGAGAAAGAGGGGAGAGATAGAAGGAGAGAGAGAGAGAGAGAGAGAGAGAGAGAGAGAGAGAGAGA